TTAACTAGGATTTTAAAACAATTTTCTCAAGCAATTCTGAGAAGAAAAATGTCTAGCATTAATGGTTATAGAAATAAAAATGAAAATAAATGAATCAAGCATTTTACTCAAAGGATTGACAAGGAATTACAAAATAAGCAAAGGAAAACAGAAGGAACTAACACAGATAAAAACAAACATTGGTGAGTTAGAAAGCTTAAAGAAAAAGTAGAGCTCAAGAATACAGTTATAGAGTAATTTGGAAAATCAGTTAACTAGCTAAGATAATCAAGAAAAAATAATACAAAATAAAGGGGAAAATAAGTAAGAAACAGAACTTAGAATCATGAGACAAGTTTGCTTAAAACTATGCCAAAATGTTAGAACACCTGAAAAAAAGTATAATTTTATAGGAAAATTATTTGTGAAAGCTGAACTCTGAAGACAGAAAACTTTTAAAGAGATCAACTACCCCAGGAGAAATAGAGGAAGTAAAGACCTAACTCTTCAAAAGGCCGAGATCCAGACAGCTCTAGGGGAATTTAACTAAACTTTTTAAGATCATATAATTCCAGTGCTGTTTTAAAATGTTCAGAGCAAGGAGAAAAAAACCTACTGAGTTCATTTTTATAAAGTGAGTAAATACTGATTCACTATCTGAAAAAATGCACAGAAACCTGTATACTGATTTACATGAATACTGGTACAAAAATATTAAACAAATGATATCAAAGAGAACCCAGGATGGCAATAAAAAAAAACTATCACCATTTGGGGTTTATTCCTATAATGCAAAAAAGCTTCAATCTTAGAGTTGTCAACCTAAATAACATAGAGAGAGGCTCTCTTTTAAAAAATGCTATTTATTAGAGAATAGATATTGCAATGGGAATACATGTGCCACAGTAAACTATGTGTGTACTCAAGGAGTTAAAACAAGAAAAAGGTTTTTTTTTAAAGGAAAAATGAGGAGGATTAAATAATTGTTTTGAGATAATTATCCTTGGCTACAAGGATTGGTAACAAGAGTGATACCAGTCTGAGATTGGACAGGCAGTTGCTGGGCAGACAACCTCACGGAAGTATTTTTGTGTGTGTAAGATTGCAACGCCCTTCGTGCAAGGTTGTGTTTTTTGCAGTCTTTTGTGATAGTTCTTGTTGTCAGGCATTCATGCATGACAACTCTTCCTTCATGGCCTTCCCTGACTCCATTTGTCAGGGTTTTAACACAAATAACTCCCATTTTGATTCTGACAACTTTCACAGGTCTTTATTAGTACATATAATATTAATACATATACAATGAAAAGTAACATAATCCTGAATCATATAATGACCTCCACAGATGGTGAACAGGCATTTGACAAAATCCAACAACTACTTATTATTAAAAAAATTTTAATGAAATAGAAATTCATTGATATTTCCTTAAAATGAAAATTGTACCTATCCCTGACCAAAATTTAGCATCATAATTGTGATCAAACTTTACAAGCATTTCTCATTAAAGCCAGGGACAAGACAAGTCTGCCAACTCTCATCGCTATAATGATTATTGTAGTCTAGCTACTGAAAAAATAAATAATACAAGAGAAATCTATTTGAGGCACAAAATTGGAAAGAATTTAAAACTATCACTATTAGTATTACTATTAGTACACAGAAAATCCAAAATAAGAATAGAAAAATTCAGTAGGGTAGTTGAGGTAGAAAATAAAGAGCTTTCTTATATACATATTACAATATAATATGTAATTTTAAAAATCCAATTTATAATAGCAACAAAAAAGATAAAACTAAAAAGAATGCAGTATATGTATATAAACAACTGTAAACTGCCTCTGAAAGACATTAAAAAATAGAAAAGTAAGAATTAGTATTATATGTATACATTTTTACAAATTTTATTTAAAATATTAATAAAAAGCAAGTAACAAATATCAACTTTGTTTTCAGTACACAGTTTGATCCTAAAACTCATAGGAAAAATAAACAGTCAAATAGCCAGGAAAGCTCTGAAAAGGAAGAGCAATGAAGAAGGGCCAGAATTACAGAGCAATAAAATAAATTATATAAGCACCAATGATTACAGTAAAAACTACAGAAATAGAATCAGAAGTGTAAGAAAATTTACTATTTGACATAGGTGGTACTGGAACATTTTGGTAACCATTTGGAAAAACAGATATGGATCCTTAACTCACACAGTACTTTATTTGTGAATAAAGTCCAAATCTAAATATTTCAATGAAAATTTAATAAAACATGAAAATACTAGAAGAAAACATGGAAGAATTCTTTATACTATGGGGTTAGGGGTGGCTTTTCTATGACCCCACATCTAAAAGGCATTAAACAAAATTGATAAATTTGGCTACATATATATGAAAACTGCATGCCAAATAAAAACCATAAGACAAATGACTTAACAAAGTGGTAACACATATCACAAAAGGCTAATCTCCCTACTCAATAAAGGCCTTCTACAAATGAACAAGGAAAGGATCCTAAAAGTGAGCAAAAAATGAGCAGAAAGTTAACAGAAAGGAAATACAAATGGCTTTGACACATTCTAAAGATGTTCAACTCACTCATAATAAGAATAGTACATTATACTTAGAGGATACATTTTTCATCTATCAGACTGGCAAACATTAAAAGTTAGATAAGACTCAGTTGGCAATATTATGAGGAAATAGACATATTGCTCCTGAGGGAGTATAAGTAGCTATAATTTTCATAGTGAAGTAATTTGGCAATATCCATCATTATTACAAATGCTTATGTCCTTTTACCTAGCAATCCCACTTTTGGGACTTTATCCTTCACACACATAGTCTTCACATGTAGAAAATGGCAAATATATACAAGTTAATTATTGGAGAATTTTCTGTAATTGAAAATGGAAACAACTGAAAAAATTTATTAAGTGGGAATAGATAAATTACTGTATATTCTTACAATTTGTCTGCTATACATTACACACACCTAAAAAAAAAAAGGAGTAAGGTCACTACTATAGACTTATGCCAATATTTCCAATATATATTAGTAAAAAGAGCAGGATACAGAATAGTGTGTATGATATGCTATTTTTGCATAAGAAAAATTCGATTAGAGTAAGATTTTATGTTCATATATGTCTGTATATTAATAAAGAAATTCTGAAAGGATACATAAGAAACTAATAATGGGTCAGATGTGGCGGCTCATGCCTGTAATCCCAGCACTTTAGGAGGTCAAGGCGGGTGGATCCCTTGAGGTCAGGAGTTTGAGACCAGCCTGGCTAACATGGTGAAACCCTATTTCTACTAAAAATACAAAAAATTAGCTGGGCGTGGTGTATTACAGAATCCCAGCTACTCAGGAGGCTGAGGCAGGAGAATCGCTTGAACCAGGACATGGAGGTTGCAGTGAGCCTAGATTGCGCCGTTGCACTCCAGCTTGAGCAACAAGAGCAAAACTCCGTCTCAAAAAAAAAAAAAAGAAAAAGAAAAGAAAAAGAAACGAATAATGGCATTTATCTGTGTCTTTGGAGGGGCTGAGAATTGAGTGAATGGGAATGTATTTAAATTATGTGTTTAATTTCATGTGTGATAACTAAATTTGAAGTGTGTCATATTTGTCATTTTTATCTGTTATGTTTTATGCTTGTAGCTGGAAGGTTTCCACTTTAGTTTACTCCAGAAATCTCTTTTATAAACATTTTTTTTTTAAGTAAAGGCTATTAGAAAAATAAACTGAATAGCTGAGTGCAGATGAGTGCAGTGACTCACACATGTAACCCCGACAACTCAGGAGGCTGAGGTGGGAGGATTGTTTGAAGCCAGGAGTTTGAGACTAGTCTGGGCAACACAGCAAGACCCTGTCTCTACAAAAAATTTTTAAAATTAGCTAGGCATAGTGGAATGCATCTGTAGTCCTAGCTGCTTGGAAAGCTAAGGCAGGAGGATTGCTTTAGCCCAGGAGTTTGAGGTTGCAGTGAGCTATGATCACATCACTGCACTCCAGCCTGGGTGATAGAGTGACACCCTTGTTTCTAAAAAAATTATAATAAAAGAAAAAGAAAAACAACTTGAAAGTATGTAATTTTAATTGGCATTTTTACATAAAATAAATATCTTTTTATTTAGAATGGATTTATTATTTCAACCTAAAGTATGAAGTGTTTTGTTTACTAATATATTTTCATTATTTAAATAACAACTGCATTATTTTTCAGAATCCAGCAGCTTTTTTTTGTCTTTTTTCTTGGTACTCATTGGTTATAACATAGTAGCTTTTAAAAGATTTTTAGTAAGTTGAAAATAATAAAAAAGTATGAGCTCCCTCTGCTGGCCCTGAAGTGGCATATCAAGGTACATTTTGTTTATTTGGAAACAAAACTGGCACATGGTACATGCCATTAATGCAATTTGCTAATATTAAGAAGAATAGTTTTAAACTGTGTTTTCCATAATTTTATAAAAGTTAAATTATGCTAATGTGCCACTAATATTGGCAAGTAAGATTAGCATTTCAATATAAATTTTAAAGTTGTATTCATTATGTACCTGAGCTATTTGGTATATTCCTATATAGTGCCACATAAGTGTGTTGAACAGGAAAAGTTTCTGCATGCACCACAACAGGCACAGGAGGATTTTAGTTTTAAAATTTATTATGACTTTTGAATTGCAGTAATCATAAAACCATGTTGTGTTAGTATATTAATATTTAGTTCATTAAAAATATCATAGTTTTTGTTGTTGTTGTTTTGAGACAGAGCCCAAGTAGAGTGCAGAATCACCCAGGTTCAGATGATTCTCGTGCCTCAGCCTCCGAAGTAGCTGGGATTACAGGTATGCTCATGACGCCCAGCTAATTATTCTGTATTTAGTTGAGATGGAGTTTCACCATGTTGGCCAGGCTGGTCTCAAACTCCTGACCTCAAATGATCTGCCCACCTCGACCTTCCAAAGCATTGGGATTACAGCCATAAGCTACCACATCTGGCCCATATGCATATTTTAAAGCTAGGAAAAATAGAAAATATTTGCATAGTAAGCGGTGACATATAATTCTGAGTATCTATAAAATTTTTTGTCATGACACACAATCCCTGATGCATTGATTTATGATGTACTTTGCAAAATTTCAAGATACTTTTATTTTTATGATTTGTTTTTATCTTCCAGATCATTGATCTGTGTCTCAGTGGTGATCATCTCATCCTATTTATCTACGAAATTCTTTAACTTTTTGTGTTGTACTTAAATCTGCTTAATGATGCCTTTTTAAAAAATTCAAATTTTCATCTCTCTTTTACAAGTTCTACTTTCCCCTTGTTTCTTCTGACTGATATTCCTCTCTCAAATTGCTGTCTCTTACATAAGATGCTATTTTTCTTGGTTTGCTCAGAAGCTCAATTCTGATTGTTGAAATACTCGGAATTCCGCATGTGGTAGAAGGCAAAGGTGTTTCTAGTCAGCGGTGTGCTGAAGCCAGTTGTCACTAGCCTATGAGAGCTGATTATTAATTTTTCAAGAATTCTTCAAGCTAGTTGTTAAAGACAGATTTTATTAAAGCTGACACATAAACTTACTTATATTAAAAACCAACACAATTTTCAAAATCATTTCCTAATTATTTAACTTCATTTTATTATTATTTATGCTCCTCAGTTAATTTACATCAACTGCATTTGTATGGTGAAAATATAGTGTAATGGGGTGCTGCTGTGAATCTCTTTCCAATTCTGCATTCTGTGATCTCATAGTGGTAACTTGAAATCCACCATGGTGGGGACATTTACACAATAACTGGCAAGTGCTACAAGGCTGGGCTTTTTCACTGTTTTGTTGATTGTCTGGACATAAAAAAAGTGATACAGAAAATGTTACCGATACAAGCATTTGGGAAAAATAAACTAAAACCTTTTGTGAAAAACAATAGGTTCTATGGAATTTACAATAAATAATACTGTATATCTTATTATTTGTAAATTCTGTGCTACACATTCTTCATATCAGTAAAACTCAGAACATATATATGTATCCATACATTTTGTTTTATAGAAAGCCACTGGTTGAACATTAACCAGCACACTACTGGAGTCTCTACCCACAAGTAGTCAATTCTCTGTGAGACTCCTGGGGGAGTCACGGACTTAGTACATCAACACTAGTGCTATGATTTTAAAATATATCCACAAATTCTTTGACACATCTTCTATCTAAAGACAAGCCCTGATTTTCCTCCCCATGAATGTGAGCTGTACCTAATGACTAATGAATGTGGTGGAAGTAACCGTGTTAGACTTCCAAGGCTAATTCATAAAAGACATTGTGGGCTCTGTCTTACTCTCTTTTGGACTGCTTGCTTTGGGGAAAGCCAGTGGCCATGCCATGAGGACATTCGAACATCTATGAAGAGGCCCCACATGGTGTGCATGAGGACTCCTGCAACAGCCATTTTGGACCTAGATTCTCCTGCCCCGGACAGGGCTTCAAATGACTGGGGTCCCAGCAGACATCTTGACTGCAACTTCACAGGAGACTTTGAGCCAGAACCTCTCAGCTAAGCAGCTCCTGAAATTATGACACACAGAAACTGTGATGTAATGAATGTTTGTTGCTTTAAGTAAGCCCCTAAGGTTTGGATTGTAATTCATTAGATGGCAACAGATAACTAGTATGAGCAGGGAATACTCATTATCCCCATTAAACTTCTTGGACTTTTGGGAGTCAATGAAATCTAAGACTCTCTCGTATGGTGCTATACCAACTTTGTTGAAGGAAGGTGTCTTCCCAGAGATCTGTGAAAACCAAACTCTATTCAGGATTAAGGAGGTTCAGAAGCCACCAGTACCACTGTTCTTCATTTGTTTGCTTAATCCATGGGGGAGCAAGTCGTGGACCAACTTCTCATAGCAGAGTCCTCAACAGAGGTCAAGGTCCCACCTTCTCCTACCTTCCTATAGGCCTTGGCAAGGATTTGGCTCAAGGGAGGCAAATGTCTTAGAGCTGGAAGAGAGGGAAAGGGAATTATGGCTAAGTTGCTATTTTTTAAGAATCTCTTGTATTTTTATATATATATATAATATATATAATATAATGTATATATATACACACACACACACATATATGAGATAGTAATCTTATTGCCAAAAAGTAAAACAAAGTCAATAAAATTAGGTAAAAAGGTTTTAAAGACATCCATTATTTGAGAAAATGAAAGAACAACAAATCTCATGTAATAATTTCTTTCCTATTCAGTTTAAATATTTTTCATGAAAAAGCACAAATGAAGGCCAGCATTTATTGTATTCATGCCTTTAGGCCATCTATAAACCTTTTAAAACTTTCTCCTAACTTTATATTAATGGAAAAATATACTAAAAAAGGGAAGCGGAACAACAGTCTTGTGTATTTTGCCTCTCATACCTACTAAATCATAATTACCAAAATGTCCAAGGCCGTTTGTATCTATTATTTGTATCCTTTATTAGAGACATTCCATTTTACATTTTTTGTTGATATATTCATATATTTATAGTCCAAATATTTAGGAAATGAACCAATGCATAATGTGATTTAATATCGCTATTTTGTGGTTAGCTTTTTAATTTTAGTATTTTATTTGTCTATTTTTAACTAAATAGCTATTGCATTCTGTCAGTTAACAAAGCCTGAATTAAATAGCTATCACATTCTGTCAATTAACAAAGCCTGAATTGAATCTGGCTCTGGGTCTTACAGCAGGTAACTTGTTTCTTCTATTAGCTTTCCAGCTGACTTTGGAAAAGTCCTTGCACATGCCCAGACCCCAATTTTGTCATCTGTAAATATGAAGATACTGATTTAGGTTATTCTTAAACTCCTATTCAGTTTCTATACTTTTAAACAGTTATTGAATAAAATACTAATCATATAAAAGGATACAAAAAAATAAAAACTGAATTCTTATCTGAAACAGATTAAAATTTACTTGGCAAAAATAAATTCATATAAAGAAGTAGCTGGTCAGTTAAGTATTAGAAGAAGTCACAAGGAGGAGAAAGGAGTAGAGGCTGTATGGGTTAGGGAAACTCAGAGGAAACAGAGCACAGTGTGAATCTAAAGAATCTGAAGTTGATAGAAAAATCCAAGCAAGACCTCATAAGATCATTATTGCTTTTTTAGCTCCCAGAAAGTCTTATAATGATAATTTGCACTAGGTTTGTTTTGGTGTTTTGTGTACTTGTATGTCTGTTTGTGATTTGAATTTGTCTTTCAAACATACAGCTCTCCAACTCATATAAATTAGTATCTACCTTCTGGAAAATTACATGCAAAAAGTTAATAGTTTATTAAAGAAAAAGAATTAGAATCTGGTTCTTGTTAAAGTATTATAGTCACAACTTTTAGCATGCCAAGTGATCTCCCAACTTCTATTTGTAATAAATCCCTCTTCCTTACTCAAAGTGATAGGCATATACTTAAGCAAAGTCAATTAGATTCTCTATCTTGATAATTTGTATCTCAACACCCAGGATGGGTGATTGTTATTGAGTCAGTTGAATGCAGGAGCATTCTATAGAAAAAGCCCATGACTGAACAAGTTTTGGCAGCTCTGATTCCTAGAGATTTGATGGTTGCTGTTGCCTTGGAAGCCTATTCAGCATTTCCTTTGATGCAATGAGTTACTTGAATTTCATTTTTTAAAAAAGAATTTATTCTTATATAAGTAAATTGACTATGGATATTGGTTGAATGAATGGAAGTACAAGCTGTGTTATAAGAGAAATATATGTCAACAGAGGTCGCGAGCCTCAGTGTGTGTTTGTTAGGCTTTGTATCAATGTTCACTACCCCAGGCTTAGTGGCTTAAAAACATTTACTACTTTTCACCATTCTGTGAGTTGCCGGGGAGTTCTTTTGGTTTGCACTACCTGTGCAAGTTGGTTGGTTTAGGCTGGTCTCACTCACATGCCTGGTGGTTGTCAGGCTGGATCTTACTGGGACCTCATCACATGGCAGCCTCAGCATTCAAGCACTTTTCTAGTTGTTGCTTGCATCACATTTATTTTTATCTCATAATATTTACCTTAATCTCACTAGCAAAGCAAATCACTTGGACAAATCCAGAATCAATGTGGGAGGACACTACCCAAAGCTCTGAATATGGGAAGTGTGAACAAACTGAGAGGACATTACTGTAGAAATTTGTCAGGTGCTTGGAAATATGAGTAGAGACGGCTTTTAGCCTCCTCTACCTTTCTAGCTCCTTAAAATGCAAAACAAACAAAAACCCTGTAATTCTTTTTTTTTTTTTTTTTTTTAACTAGTTCATTTTTTTTTTTCCTCTTTCTCTGGGAGATTTACAAATATCAAAGAAAGTCCGTTTAAAAAAAAAAACAACAAAAAACCCGCCTTTCTTGTGGACTAATGTTTCACTTCATGGCACCTTGAGAGTCAGACAAGTGTCAATCAACATTTCAAAAATGGTGATTATAATGTAGGAAAAAAGTGATAGACTTTAAAAAGGTATCATCTATCCTATGTTAGATTTTGGGAATAAAACAGTGGATGAAAAAAAGCTTTTGCCTTCAAGGAACCTAATCTTTTAATAATACAACATGATGTAATTGTAACAGAGATAAACACTGTGAACACTCAGCCCAGTCAGGGAAGGTTTCCTGAAGAAAGTGACTTTTAAGGTAAGTCCTGGAGTTAGATGAAGGATAGGGTTGGGCATGGTAAATGTTCTAAACCGAAGGGGCTCTTTGTGCAAAGAACACAATGAGGGACACCATGGCTTGTTTGTAGAAATAGATTAACGAATTTACAGTCTCTATGCACCAAAATATTATAGTGCTCTCTCACTTGAAATTCAAAATAAAAATAATGCTAATTATAAAATTACATGTAGGGAAGTCTTTCTGATTTTTCCCATGTTCTCATCATTTAAAAAATAATAAATACTCTAAAAACTGCCCCTGTGTTGATGATTTATTCAGCATATACCAGTTCGTCTATTGCATAATGCAGAACTATTCTGGGAACTGCAGATACATGGTATGACACCATTGTAGAATGTAAAAAGTGGAGAATGGAAGAAACTGAAAAGCTAGGCAGGTGTCAATTAATGAAAGATGTAAGAAAGCATGTGGTTAAGGATGTGGTGTTGATTACTGACCTGAGTTCAACCTCTGCCATTGATTCATTCTATACACTTGGGCAACTTGAAGCTTAATTTCCTCAGCTGTAAACTGGGAATGCTAAATTGTGAGAATAAATAAATGTAAAGCATTTAGAACAGTGCTTAATACCATAAAACACAGTTAATTTCAATTAAGTATTACAATTAATAAATTTGTACTTTAACCTGGGATATGGGAAGCCAATAAAGGTTTACATGTTTAGAGGGGGCTTTAATGGGTTTCTTTGGCTGAAGTGTATCATCTGGGTTGAATGACAATGAGCAGTATGCCTAGGAGGAAGACTCAATAGATATTAATTGGGATATTAATTGGATAGTGGTAAAAGAAGAAGGATGATACCTAGATTTTTGAGCAATTGGATCATGGTGGCTTTCTATGAGTGACATATCACAGGAAAGGGGCAAAATTGGTTAGTGAAGATAATGAGTTTAGTTTTGGAGACTGATTTGAAATGCCTAGAAGACATCCAAGTAATGACCTTTGGGAAACATCAGCATGGATATAGGAGTTTAACTAGTAAAAATAGGTAAGATGGGTTGGGGATCATGTTTAGATTGAAAAAAGGACCAGCAGGAATTCCAAGGCACATCCATATGAAGTGTGGTGAAGTTCAAGAAGGATACTTTAGAGGGTTCAGAAAAATCAGGGGGAAAAAAAAACCAAGATTGTGATACAGTAAAAATAGTGGGGAAAAAAGCGTTTCAAGAAAAAAACGTGAACAATGTTGTCAAATGTTATATTTGGTCAAATAACACAGGACTAAATGTGGACATTACATTTAGTCAATGTCAGTGAAAAGCAAATCACTGATAACCTTGGCAAGAAGTGTTTTGGTAAAATGGTGGAGACAGAACTAGTTCATACTGAACTGGAGTGATGGGAGGAGAGGAAGCTGAGACAGTGAGTACAAACAACTCTTGCTTGCCTGTAAAGAGAAAAGAATGGTGGCTGAAAGCAGATCTTCAATTGATAGAGCTCAATAGTTGTTTTTTAAATGATAGACACATAATGTCTATCATTTTGAAAATATCAACACCATTAACACTCTAGTTCAAACTTCCAACATCTCACATGGACCATTACAATATTCTCTTGTTTCCTTCTTCTACCACCCCCATTGTATCTTTCTTGGCTACCCCTCCCTCAGCCCCATATACACTCCATACAAATCTAATTATAGCCTTCCCTTACTCATCTAAGCCAGTTGTAGAAGGCTTTTCCTTCTTGAACTAGAACGGGTATACCTCTTAATATTCTCTGGTGAGAGAGATCAGAGAAGCTATGGGGCCTCACACTGCTGGTGAGTGTTCATCTCTATCCAGTAATTCATCTGCTGGTAAGTGTTTATTATTACTTAATAGTTTACAAAAGGAAGGGTGGTGGCCCCCACTTTGCTCAGTATTGGCTGGTCCCCCTGCAGGTACTCTTCCCTCCGTGGGTCCTACCACACCTGAGCTTCCCAAACTGAACAAATGCCAATGGTGTTTTCAGTAGTAGTTTCATAGAAGCATTCTAAAACATACCAAAGCAGTACAGAGTAAGAGTTACTCTATTAATACACTGAGCTCTTTATTCCTCTCCTTTTTTTTCACATGAGAGGAAAAAGTTCTTACCTTTTAGGAAGGCACTGTCCGACAAAAATATGTGAGCTGCATATGTAATTTTAAGTTTTCTAGGGGCTACGCTTTTAAATAAAAAATAGTAATAAAAAGGTGAGGGCCAGGCGCGGTGGCTCACGTCTATAATCCTAGCACTTTGGGAGGCCGAGGCAGGCAGATCACTTGAGGACAAGAGTTCAAAACCAGCCTGGCCAACATGATGAAACCCCATGTCTACGAAAAATACAAAAAAATTAGATAGGCGTGGTGGCAGCTGCCTGTAATCCCAGCTACTCAGGTGGCTGAGGCAGGAGAATCACTTGCACCTGGGAGGCAGACGTTACAGTGAGCAGAGATTGTGCCACTGCACTCCAGCCTGGGCAACAGAGTGAAACTCCATCTCAAAAAAAAAAAAAGTGAAATTAATTTTATTAATATACTTTATTTAACATATTTATAGGCCAATATATCCAAAATATTATTCTTTCAATATGCAATTAATGTAAAAATGAAGATATTTTACTTTTTTGTTGTTGAGGAGTAACACATGAAAAGCATTGTTCACGTTTTTTCTAAGGCTTTGAAATTTGGTGCACATTTTATACTTACTGCACACCACAATTCCAAATAGCCACAAGAACTCAACAGCCACACATTGATAGTGGCTATGGTATGTGGCAGTGTAGTTTGTTCTACCCCCATGTTTACTATTCATTTACTATGAAAACACATGATGAATGCTGCTTCCACAGCCAGGAATTGGTCCAGCTGATGCTGTTAAGGGAGTCAACTCTTTCTTCTGGGAAGGAAGGATCAAATCCTGTCTGAGCTCTGGCAGTTACATGAAATGCAGGCTGTGAGCTCATTCCTAAATTCTGGTTAACCTTGTATGGTAGATTATATTATAAACTCACTTATGTTTGCTGCTCCTCCTTGCTCCAGCCTATTTTGAATCAGGCTTGGTCACATGACTTGCTCTGGTCAATGAAATGTGGAGAGAAGTGAGCAGAAATTGTAGGAGACAAAACATGGTTTGCCATAATCTCTTTTGTGTCCACCATTATGACTGACAATGTTCCAAACAGACAGAGGCTGCTCCATCAGTCTGGGACCTGGAGGGAGGACCACGTGGAGTAGAGGTGTAGCTAACCTGTAATGGACATGCAGGGTGTGAGAGGAATGAACCCTTGTTGTTGTTCATTACTGCAGCCAAACCTAGCCTCTTCCTAACTTATGTACTATTGTTTGTAGGTGATGCAGACTGTTTTTTCTCTTTGTTGTCTGGAGGATGGGACAGTGCAGCTTCAAAACTTTCGACAGTGTCTCCTAAGGGCATTTCATTATGCCTGATGTTTGTTATTGCAATGTTATTGGTTGTTTTCCTGGCTTAGGTTCTGACCCCCAATAAAAATGGCCTCACAGGAGAATGGCGTAAACCCGGGAGGTGGAGCTTGCAGTGAGCTGAGATCCGGCCACTGCACTCCAGCCTGGGCGACAGAGCAAGACTCCGTCTCAAAAAAAAAAAAAAAAAAAAGGCCTCGAATTTCAAAAGCCCTAATTAAGGTTCTACATCATTACCTTTTTCAGTTTTGTCCCAAGGCTACTAAGGAACTAAGAACAATATGCAAAGGTGAATTTTCTTCAAAAGATTATCTGTGCCTTTCCACACTTCAATTAGTAAGCAAATAAGATTTCTTTTCTGATTTTTTCCCCGATTTTTGGCTTGAAGGACAGAGATACCTCTACAATAAATATTTGTTGGAAAAAAAAGGAATGAAATGAAATGATACGATAGCAGCTTTCTAGGTGGGATCATATGCATATAAACATGTGCATATCTACTTATGAAATCCATGGTGAAAGTTCGTGAATCTGCTTTCTCTTGGAGTGGTTATTTATTCTTGTAATAACTAACAAATGCCATTTGTAGTGTGACAGGTGAGTGAACCCCAGGATTCTTGACTTTGTCTGAGCTGACAGACTGTCACCTAGGTTATGGGTTTTATTCTCCAACGTTCATTCATTCAACAACAGAACCTGCCACGTGCTATCAACTTCTCTAAGCACAAGAGATGCAGTTGTAGAAAAGACAGGCAAAATCTCTGCTTTCCTGAAACTTCCGTTGTAGCCAGTCTGTTAGACATTCCCAGAGATCTTTTTGTTTTCTGGGTCTCTCTGCCTTAACAGATTTTTTTAAAAAACATTTTTTTATTATGGAAAATTTCAATATGTAAGAGCTCAAAGAATTATAACCATCCCCATCATCCAATTTCAACCACAGTCAACTCATGTCCAATCTTATTTCATTGATACTCTACTCTCTCTCCTTATTCCATTTCAAATCATTTTGATAGCACAAGTATCACATCATTTCACTTACATCTTTAATAATATTACATACATGTTTTTCCTCTGGATGCTGAGATTTATACTTACCTGTCCTCATTTGACTGTTTGTATGGGAGACTTTGTGTCTGCATGTCTGTGTGTGTGAACATGCAATATATGTATATATACCTTTTTAATGTTATGATTATTACTCACCATAACCATATCCATAAACAGTTCCACAGCACCTATAGAGATGGAGTCATAATTCATCATGGGTATAAACAGAGTGCCCCCTGAAGAGATGGTGATTGCCTCTCAAAGCTTTTTAGGTAGGTGTGGTGGCTCATGCCTGTAATCCCAGCACTTTGAGAGGCCAAGGCAAGCAGGCAGATCACTTGAGCTCAAGAGATCAGCCTGGGCAACATGGTGAAACCCCGTCTACCAAAAATACAAAAAGGAAATTAGCCAGGCATGAGTGTCATGTGCCTGTGGTCCCAGTTACTCAGGAGGCTGAGGTAAGAGGATCACTTGAGCCCAGGAGGTAGAGGTTGTAGTGAGCTGAGATTATGCCACTGTACTCTAGTCTGGGTGACACAGAGACTCCATCACACACACACAAACAACAAAAGCAAAAAAAGCTTTTTGTATTTTGGTTTTGGTTTTTTGAGATGGGGTTTCAATCTGTTTCCCAGGCTGGAGTGCAGTGGTGTGATCTTGGTTTGCTGCAACCTTCGCCTCCTGGGTTCCAGTGATTCTCCTGCCTCAGCCTCCCGAGTAGCTGGGATTACAGGTGTGTGCTACCGTTCCCGGCTAATTTTTGTATTAAAACAGAGACAGGGTTTTGCCATGTTGGCCAGGCTGGTCTCAAACTCCTGACCTCAGGTGATCCACCCCATCAGCCTCCCAAAGTGCTGGATTACAGGTGTGAGCCACAGCACTCGGCCTTAAAAAAGCTTTTTATGCCAGAAGTGCTCTGGTCCAATTTAGGGGGATATGATAGTATGTCTTTTTTTTTTTGAGATGGAGTCTCACTCTGTTGCCCTGTTGCCCAAGCTGGAGTGCAGTGGTGCAATCTCAGTTCACTGCAACATCTGCCTCCTGGGTTCAAGTGATTCTCCTGTCTCAGCCTCCCTCCCAAGTAGCTGGGATTACAGGAACCCACCACCATGTCCAGCTAATTTTTTTGTTTAGTAGAGATGGGTTTCACCATGTAAGCCAGGCTGGTCTCCAACTCCTGACCTCAAGTGATCTGCCTTCCTCAGCCTCCCAAAGTGCTGGGATTACAGGTGTGAGCCACTGTGCCTGCTCTGGGATATGATACTATATATGTCTTCTGATCTCAGTTTACAACATCAGTAATTGCTCAAGTGTTTCCTCTTGAATTACCTAAGGATATCACAGAAAGTGTTATTTTTCTTTGCAAGTCATCAGTGGCTAGTCTTAGATAAGAAAATTATATTCCCTTTATTAACATGACCTTGATATTCTAGGAAAATAAAAACCCTTGAATTATTATATTAGAGTACGATATGCTTCCTGTTTTTATTTTAAAATTCCCAAATTTAATCAGATTCTCTCTTAAAAGAAGTATGCGTTGGTGTGTTCCTATTTTAAATTCATCCTGCCACACCAAAAACCTTTCAATGGCTTCACATCATTATTTTAAATAAAATCCAGTTCCAAAATCTTAACATGAAATTTTTTCTACCTCTAACTTGACTGACAGCCATTTCCCATGTCCCTAATTTGATACTCTCCCACCACTCTGTCCTTAAGATCCTGACTCTTCTTTATCTCAGGAACATCCCACAGGCTATTATGTGTGCTGGAATGTTCTTGTCTCTACTTTGATTCACATGACTTTTACTCATTATTCACTTTTCTTAACCATTTAAGTATCATATCCTTAGAGAAACCATGCTTGAGCCTTTACAGTCTAAATTGCTAAAATGGTTCATAGTTTCCTCTTTCATAATACTTAAAATTTTATTATTAACTATGATTTTTAAAATGTACAAAAACAGAATGAATCAGATGATTAAATTCGTGTTATAGTGTTCTCTGGGGAGTGGATGCTGAGATGGGGTTAAAAGTGCAAAAAGTTTACTGGAGAGTAGCACCTGTGAAATGGAAAGCGGGGAAGCAGAACTGGGTGGGAGAGCCATTAGATTACCATGCAGGTCTGACAATACTTCTGCCATCCCAATATCGAGCAGGTCCTTATCCCTTGCTCAGTCTTGAGCTGGGGATGGGCATGCGGGAGAGGGTTTGCCCTGAGAATAGTGTAACTTCAACGTGAAAGCTGAGGTGAACCTAGAAAGAATTAACAACTGGAGGCTGTCATGTATCTATGCTCCTTGCAGTTGGTCAGTGAGTCCTTTCTTGAAGGGAGATCTGAGCTGCACACCCCTGTGACTGCTATACATTGTAGGATGTCAACTCAATCCAAATTAATCCATAACTTCAATGAAGATTTTTCTTTTTACAAGTTCAACCATCTTGTTCTATGTATTTGGAAAACTAAAGGTTCATATTTATTTATGTATTTATTTATTTAGATGTAGTTTCACTCTGTCGCCAAGGCCGGAGTACAGTGGCACAATCTCGGCTCACTGACAACTCCACTTCCCAGGTTCAAGCGATTCTCCCACCTCAGCCTCTGGGCTGGGTACTACAGGTATGTGCTAACGCACTTGGCTAATTTTTGTATTTTTAGTAGAGATAGGGCTTCACCATGTTGGCCAGGCTGGTCTGGAACTCCTAACCTCAAGTGATCTGCCTGCCTCGGCCTCCCAAAGTGCTGAGATTATAGGTGTAAGCCACTGTGCCAGACCAAGATTAATATTTAGCCAAGTTAAATTTGAAAAAGAGCAAAGAAGAGGGATTTGCCTTATTATATATTAAGATATTCTATAACATAATACAATAGTAAATAAAAACAACATGGTACTGGTGTAGTCACAGACAAAATGACCAATTGAAAAATAGGTCAGAAGCAGAACACAAATGAAATGAAAACAGAAAGATACAAGTGGCATCAAAAATCAAACAGGAAGGAGACTGGGCACAGTGGCTCACACCTGTAATCCCAACACTTTAGGAGGCCGAGGCGGGCCGATCACTTGAGGCCAGGAGTTCAAGAACAGCATAGCCAACATGGTGAAACCCCATCTCTAATTAGATGGGCATGGTGGTGCACGCCTGTAGTCCCAGCTACTTGGGAGGCTGAGGCAGAATTGCTTGAACCTGGGGGGCAGAGGTTGCAGTGAGCCAAGATTGTGCCACTGCACTCCAGCCTGGGAGATGGTGAGAGACTCCATCTCAGGGAAAAAAAAAAAAAGAAAAGAAAAAAGAAAGAAAATCAACAGGAGGGAATAAACTGAGTAGACTTATGGAAAAAAAATGGCCCAGATCCTCACTTTACACCACAAACAGGGATGTATTACAGAGAGAATAAAGACTTAAGTGTGATTCTAAGTAGAGTAATGGACTGTAAAAAAAACAGAAGAAAATATAGAATCTCTTTGTGATCTGGAAATCACTGGAAATGCAGACTGTTTTTAAACAAGACTTCAAATGCACTATTGAAAGTAGTAAGACTGTACTCAACTGGAGAAGACAGCTGGAAAAACCTGAGGAGGAATTCAGCACACTATAGAGAATATTCCCGGGATCAGTGCAGCTGAAAGATGAAGGCAACTTATGGTAATAAACCATAAAGAAATATAGGTCTGTTAGAGGGTGTATCACTCTCTTGCCTATCTGAAATATTTTCTCCTGCCTCTGCTTCCTTCCTATTTAAAACAAAGCATGTGTCTTCAATAAACATTTTTTGAGTTTCAGACAGAGTTAAGAGCAGATAGTAGAGAGGAATAAACTTGAGTCCAGTCCTTAAAAGAGCTCATAAGGCCAAGAAAGATGAGAAAACTAAATAAAACGTTTTATTTTTATCTGTCCTCACTATCTCTTCCCAGTAAATGTTTTAACTCCTGTTCTACAGGTAAGGAGTAGACCTTTGTCTAGGGTATCACTGAGGTACTGGCATTTGAGCAATAAGGAAAATCATTCTGGCAAAAGGAACAGCGCTAATAAAGTCACAAGGCCTTGAAAGAACATGGTGTATTGGAAAATGTTAAGCAGGTCACCTAATACTGGACATCCCAAAATGTACGTTACTGAATAGAGAAAGTAGTCTATGGCAGCTGTTTAGTCTTCTCTTAGTAGAATTGATGATTATATCAGCTAATTGTTACCTTTGAAGGCAGGGCCAAAGAAGATGAAGCAGGGATAAATGAAGGATAAATGTTAATGGTTAAGGAAGAGAAGCATTCTAGGAAGCAAAAATGACTCGCCGTGGAGTGATAATAAACACTGTACTATAAATTTAGAGGAGGAAGATATTGCTATCAGCCACAGTGGCCAGGAAAGGCTTCATGGAAGTGGTAGGGCTTCTTTTGGTCATTCAAAAAATAGAGTTGATCCTTATTACTTGCAGATTCTGTATTTGTGAGTTTGCCTACTTGCTAAAATTTATTTGCAATGCCCAAATCAATACTTGGAATGCTTTTGCAGTCACTTGTCGACATGAACAGAGGCAGAAAATTTGAGTCACGTGATGCACATGTTCCCAGCTTTGGTGAAACAAGGGGATGCTTTGCCTTCCTGTTTTAGCCCTCACACTGGAAACAAGTGTCCTTTTCATGGTCTATTTAGTGCTGTATTTGTTGCATTTTTGAGCTTTTTGTGATTTCACTGTTTAAAATGCCCCCCAAGTGTAGTGATGAGGCTATCTAGTTCCCTAAGTGCCAGAAGGCTCTTCTTTTTAAAGAGAAAATACATACATCATGTAAGCATAAGTTATAGTGCCACTGGCTATGAGTTCAATGTTAATGAATCAACTATATTAAATAAGGTGCCTTAAAAATTTTTTTCTGCCTACATAAGGTGCCTTTAAAAAGAAACACACATAAAGCAAGGTATTTATGGGCTGGTTGACAAACATTTGATAAGAGGCTTGAAGGAACCTAATCCTGTATTTCTCCTAGTAGCAATGGTTCCATATTCACTAATTCATTATTTGTGGCTTTTTTACAGAACCACTGTGAATAAGAATTGGCTGTATATATTAGTAGCTGTTCTTTTTTTTTTTTTTTTTTTTTTTTTGAGACGGAGTCTCGCTGTGTCGCCCAGGCTGGAGTGCAGTGGCGCAATCTCGGCTCACTGCAAGCTCCGCCTCCCGGGTTCACGCCATTCTCCGGCCTCAGCCTCCCGAGTAGCTGGGACTACAGGCGCCCGCCACTGCGCCCGGCTAATTTTTTCTATTTTTAGTAGAGACGGGGTTTCACCATGGTCTCGATCTCCTGACCTTGTGATCCGCCCGCCTCGGCCTTCCAAAGTGCTGGGATTACAGGCGTGAGCCACCGCGCCCGGCCGCTGTTCTTGAAGCGGGGGATTCAAAGCTATAATCCACTAAAGAACAGATAATCATATACTTGCAAAAATAAAGCTATGAGTGCTATAAAAGAAGCAAACACAGGCTGATGTCAGAACATCTCAGAGAGACTCTTGCTTCAGATAAGGGAGGTGAAGGATGGATTTCCAAAGGTGATGCTGCATTTTGCACTGCAAAAATGCACTGCATTTTGACGCGTAAGTACGAATCCATCAAATGAAAGGTAGAGAAATGCATTTTGCAATGGCTCAGTTTAGTGAGAGGACACACTTCTGTGGAGACAAACGGTTACTCCATCTTGAATGCTAACTTGTCATGCTGACTTCTGATTAGGCCCAGTCCTGTGATTATTATTTTATTTACTGTCCTTAGTGTAAGAACAAAGCAACCCTGATTTTATCACACAAATTACAGGCTATGATGCATATAGCATTCTTGCCTGTCTGGAGGGCTGCCTTTAAATGTCTCTACAGAGTACGTACACCCTTTCCTTATGGCATGTAAGTACTGGTCTGGGGAGTAATAGGGCAGAGATCTACCTGTCTTGCTGCCACTCAAGACCATGCTTCTGTCTGTAAGTTACCCCCAACAAAACACTCTTTACTGACCAAACTGGATTGTCTGCTTTGTTCATTTGATTTCTCCTTTGATATCTGGGGGGCACCTTGCATAAAGGGCCTTTTCATGGAACAACTTCTTTTAAGGAACTCAAAATAGTTTAGGATGGCTGGAGCAAAGACTGAAAGGCACTGAAAGGAGTTTCTAGGCAAAAAGGAAGGTGTCTGATTTATGAAAGAACCTTTATAGGGTGTTAAATAATGTGTTTTATTCTAAAGATAACGTGGAAGTGAAGATTTTAAGCAAGAAAGTGACATGATTAGATCCAAATTTTTGAATTATTGCTATTAAAGGCAATGATTATGAGGGTAACTGAAGATGAACTGAGATGGAGGTCAGCATAAAAGGCAAAGATATTAAAAGGCTTTTGCTATTATTTAGGAAGAATAAAATACTTTAAATAAGACAGTGACAGGTATGAGAGATGGATGGGCAAAGTTTGAGCAGTCAGGGAAAGAAGTAGAAGTGTTCTCTGTGAAAATAAAGTGAACAAATGTTTGGAGAAAGGGAGGGTGAGCAAATCAGTTTACCTGGGGTATACAGTATTTGATAGAAGCTTTGGAAGGCTGAAGTGGAGAACCAGAGTCATGGAATAGCTGGTGATAAGGCTGAAAATATTGGTGACATCAGCCTGTGGCAAGGCTACAACAAACAGACTAAACAAATATAATTTTAACTTTTGGCAGTATTAAATTTATAAACAAATTTTGTTGTAAAATACATATAAAACCTACCGTTTTCATTAAGTATATGGTCCACTGCATTAAGTACATTCATATTGTGCAACCCACACACCACCACTCATCTCCAGAATCTAAATCATCCTAAACTGAAACTCTATTATTCACTGAAAAATAACTCATTTCCCCTTCTCCTGGGCACCCTCTCCACCCCTGCTCTTGCTACCTTTCCAGCTTCTGTCTCTAGAAGTTTTGACTACTCTAGATACTTAATGTAAGTACAATCGTAATATTTGTCCTTTCATGTGTAGTTTATTTCACTTAGCTAAATCACTTTAATCAACACCCTGGTTATTCAGTAGCTGGATTCTAATTTGTATTCTACTCTATATGCTGTATTTTAAAACAAATGTCTTGCTTTGTAGTTCATAATCTTTCCACTTAATCCTTGAGGAGACTTCACTCTAGCAAATTACAAACTCAGAGTTCCTAAGAACAATTTAGCCTATCGGTGTCTCTCATAAAGAGCTTTCATTGATCTCCTTACTGAAAATGTCTTTAGATTGTGAATATTTTCGTTCCACTACAGTTCATGGAACGTAGACGCTTCGTAAAATTCCACCTAGCATCTAAATAGAACTCAAGCAGGAATCAAACTTATTTGATCACCCAGGAAAAGAGTTTGTTTATTTGGGTTGCTGATATGAAGACTCTCTTTTTTGATACTATATAATTTCCCGATGTGAGATAGGGCTGAATTTGCTCTAAATAAAGAGCATTTTAAAAATAACAAAACTTATCTTTATCTGGGGGAAAGTGCAGGCTGGAAACTACCTGAGAGACGTGAAGGTTCTCTCACCTTTCCCTTGGAGCATCCCTGAGTCATTAGGGCTCTACCAACAAGTCGAGTACTGTTGGACAAGGCACTAATCCTCTGGCGGTCTCGTTGGGCTCCATTAGACCAGCCTGTATTTATAAACCTCGTTCACATCACAGCATACACAGAATATGGTACTGGTAGGGCACTTGGGTAAATTGACGAGGTAGCGCGCTCTGCACCTGGAACCTACGGGCCGCCTGGTGTCGCGCACGCGGGTGTGTACGCTCTCAACGAGCGATCCATCCGGCAGGTCCGTTCCAGCTGACAGGCCACGGCCGTCTTACCGGGGACGAGCTAGGGCTCCCGCTGTTTCTGAAGTTCTAGCTCGGGGACGAGCTAGGGCTCCCTCCTTGTAAGAAACAAGTTCTTTATATCATAAAGATAAGCAAAGAATAAAAAGGCACAAAGGCCGCAAGCAAAGCACACACTCAAAATGCGAACTACAACACTCGACCCGCGCATTCTCCGCCGACCTTACGTCTCTTCCCAGCAGGCTCCAGGAACCACCGCGAGACTTCATCAATTATCGCGAGATTTATCGGCAGCCATCTTCTTGGGGGTGCTGGGAGGCAGGAAGACCCCCTGAATCGTTCGCATTGAGCTGCCCTTCGCCTTCGCTTTCTTTACTTTTGCCTTTTCGACGTAGCCAACAAGCACCTGGTCCCGAGGCCGAGAGAACGCCTGGGTCTAAGCGCGTGTCGCGCTTCCGGTCTGGGTAGATTTGCTGGGGAAGAGGGAAGGGGGAGGGCCCGGGCAAACCGTTGCTGCTTCAGCCCGGGCCGGGGTCCGGGGACGGGGAGCTCCTGGCATCCCGTGCATTTGCGGCCTGCGGCGGTCCCTGCAGAGCTGTTCGCCGACCGGGGCCCGCGGGAACCTGCCACCGGCGCCTCCCACCGCGGCCCACGCGGGCGGCGCGCGGAGGAGGGGGCGGGGGCAGCGGCGGCTGTAGCGGCTGCGACCTGGGCGGGCGGAGGAGTGTGACGGGCCTTAGGGCCGCTGTGGATGGTTTCTAAAATGATCATTGAAAACTTCGAGGCACTCAAGTCCTGGCTCAGCAAGACTCTCGAGCCCATGTGAGTATCCGGGGGATATCTCTCTGCAGGGATGGCAGTGGGAGATAGGCGGATCCACAGATCTGTGCGGTTTCCCCGAGCGCCTACGGTGGAGGCCGAAGCGGTGAACGGAGGTCCCAGGGCTCTGTGGCTTTTCCTTCTCGTCCACCTCGCTTCTAGGTTCAAGATACCCCCAAGAGCCTGACTCGAGTTTTATTTTATTGCTGAGCTGGTCTCGTTTTCCCGTTATATGTAGACCGATTCCAACCCCCCACCCCCCATATTTTCCGAGGGCCTCAAAATCGGTTTTTAGTGAAACCGACTATTTTCCTTCCTACAAACTATTTTACCTTGTTTTTCTAAATGAAGTAGACGGCCTTTATTAGGGATTCGGGCAGTTCTAGCTTAAATCACTCACGTTTCACCTAAATACAATTCCTGAAAGCAAGGCCACGTCTCCCATGTGCTGTCTGGCTCATCTGCACCTCTCTTCACTGATTGAAGATGTAACAGGTGCTGAGGTGGCCAGTAAAATTCCCCTTTCCCGCCTACACGTTCGTTAGCTTGGAGAGGAGGAAGAAAATTGAATCTTCATACATATGGAATATTTAACAGTTTTAAGTGGGATGCTATAGATAGACTTTGTGTTGGGGGGGCCTTAGAGTACTGAAATAGTCTTAGATTGGAAAATTTAAGGAGTGTTTTGACGACTTGTTAATACTAAATATAACATGGACCAAGTGCTTTATCAGAATTGGTTGATTTATAATGCAATGAGGAAAATTCATGCATTTAATGAAGTTATTAGGTACCTACTATGTACTACGGGAGGCTTTGGGGATAGAGCTTTTAAATTCTAAAATCGACAAGAGATAAATCCAGATATTAATAGAGCTGTGACTATTTTAATAATCATGTAAAAGAGTGATTATGAGGGAGGCTACTTCACATTGGTCAAGGAAGGACTCTCAGAGAAGGTGACATTGGAGCAACATCTAAAGAAGAGAAGGGACCATCTGTGTCAAAGTCTTGGAAAAGAACGTTTCTTGCAAAAGGAAGAGCAAATGAAAGGCGCTGTAGCAGAAGTAATTGTGGTGTGTTTCAGGAAGAGAAAGGCCATTGTGGCTGCAAGGAGCCTTGTGATGAGGGAGAGAATGTAAGAGAAGTTGGACAAGTAGGTAGGGGCCACATCATGTATGGGAAGATGTGAGATGATTTAAAGCAGACAAGGACTGATTTAATTTTGTTTTTAGTCTGCCTATTTTGTAGCGACTGAGAGGACAAGAATGGAAGTAAGGAGACTATTCAGAAGGGTATTGTAGGCAGAGATGTGGCTAGTTTGCATTAGAATTTATTGTAGGCAGAGATGTGGCTAGTTTGCATTAGAGTGATGGTGGAGACAGGCAGATCCAAATACATTTCCTAAGTAAAATTAATGGATTAAATGTGGGAGATGAGGGAAAGGGAAATCAAGGGTGATGATCGCCTTAGATAAACCAAGCAACTGAATGGGTTATAGTAGAGAAGGCAGAGAACAGGTTAAGGAGAGAAGGAAAGGGGTTGGCTAGTTTTGATAATAAATACAGTAAGTATGAAGTCTGTGGGATACATCTAAGTGTGAGATCATTGAATGTATGAGTCTAGAACTCAGGACTGGAGAAATCTGGAGTCATGCAGATGGTATTTAAAACCATGACATTGTGGGAAATTTCCTACGAAAAATGTGTAGATAGGGAAGAGAAGAGGACCTAGTACTGAGGCAGGAGGAAAACTGGGCTTTATGTCATTAAAGAACAAGTGTGTGACAAAAGAGAGGAGTTTATGAAATGCTGCAGAATGCGTGAAAAAATGTAGGCAAATAGGTGGCCCTTAGATGTAGCAAAGTGGAAGTCGTTGGTAACCTTAGCAAAATAGTTTCACTGGAGTGGAGTTGTGCAGATGGAAGCCCTATTTCAGTGTATTGGAGAGTGGGCATCATAGTATAGGGGTGAGAAGAACTCTGGAGCAGAATGTCTGGTTTTGAATACTGCCGCTGCCACTTACCAGCTGTATGATATTGGGTAAGTTACTTAACTCAGGGCTTCCATTTCCTCAACTGTAAAATTGGGAAAATAATGAATGTATATTAAGGAAATCTTAGACTACTGCCTGGTGCGTAATTAGCATTCAGTAGTTATTAGGTGAACACAAAACTTATAAATGTTTTGGGTTGAAATAGCTTTCCTTTAGGCGTTCAGTTTCATATCAGATTTACTGCCGTATCCCCCCGTCTTACCTAAATGAGAAGACTGTAGCCACTTAGAGTGTATGCTTGTAATTTTTCTTTAGTCTTAATAAAACATTCCATGTATCAAAGCCTACTCTCGATGGCTGTAGCACTGCAGTCATTATGTTGTCGTAAATAAGGCACTGCTAGTAGAGCCTAGACACTGGGAATTGTAATTGGTCCTTTTCTAATGTATGTAGCTGTGGTAAAATTGAGCCCTTATCCAAGTTCTTGTCCTTTTAATTGCATTTCAGGTGGATTCTTTTGTATAATTTATAAAAGCTGATCCCAGTTATTTAAGATCAGTGATTTCTAACCTTGGTTTTGTGAAATGTTATGATCTGTTATCTAAAAGGATTTTTTATTTTTTTATTTTTTTTTTGCTTTAACATTGTGATTACCAAACTACTCTGTTTGAGAGAGGAACATACAGAGGACCAAGGGTAAGCTGTAACTTGAAACTTACATAAAACTTTTTAGTTACCTGTGCTGGTTAAATACTTCATGGTTTTGGACTTACTCCACATTTTGAACGTGTTAATTCAGCAAACATTTATTTTAAGAGTACTTAACCTACTCTGTGCTAAGCAGTGTGCAAGATATTGGGGAAATAGGTAACAAGACGTGAAATGACTCTCTTCATTTTATTTACCATTTAGCAGGAAAGATAGGTGTTGAAGTCTGGGAACACTTCCCTGGTGTAATGTTTATCTCAGCTTGGAAGGATGAAGAACACTTTGCGGGGGAAAAGGATGGGATTGGAGACCTGTGAAAGCATTGTAGGTTTGGTGAACAGATTGTATGGAGGTCCTAAAAATGGACAAAAAAAGATATCTTGGAGGAAGTGAAAGAAATAGAAAAAAGCAAGGGAGAAGAATGGCAGTGGAAAGCTCCAGAGAAAGGAGTCAGATCACACAGGACTTTGTTGAGTCATGTTTAAGACTTTGGATGTTATTGATAGTGGGAAGCCAGTGAAGGGTTTTAGGGCAAAAGGGTTTTCAGATGGATGTTTAAAAAAAAAAAGCCTGGTTGTGTTTTCAGCGTGGAATAGAAGTCTGCATATCTGTATTTTACTCTTTAATAACTTCTGTACATGTACCAGGGTTCTGAGTTTCATAAATTATTGAAAATAATTTTCAATGTCTTTTTCATCAAATTGAAAATTTTGAACTTTATTGTCATCTTCAAACGCTTAAGACTGATGTTTTGTTATCTCAAAGTTTTGCTTAGTCATACTTGCTAATAATATGAGACTAAATGTTAGTCTTTTTTCTAATATTTCGTTTTGATGATAAGAAGTCCTGAAAAAAAATTAAGCTCTTTTGTTGTAGTAAACTTACAAAAAAAAAAAAAAAAACCAAAAAACTTTCTACTGTATTTAAAACTTTTGAGTGGACTTACTCATCGAAGTCATGTTTTTTGTTTGTTTTATTTTCTGAAGAGACACCGAAAGATCTAATGAAACTTTAATTTTTTAGAAAATAAAATTGAGGGGCAGATGGGTGTAATGATGTACTCAGGTTTTGTGAGTTGAGTAGTAAAGAAGAAAATGCCTAGTGTTGTGCTTCTGCCACTATATAGTGCTGTGGAGGAAGTGTGTGGTGGAAAGAAGATCTCTGTGACCAGATAGATCAGTATTCAAATCTCACTTCTGCCGTTTATTAGCTGTCTAGGCAAAGGAACCTCCTCTTTCCTTATTGGTATAATAGGAAAGGGTTGAATGGGACACTTGTTTGAGAGCCTTGCCCTTCCCCTCCTTTCTTAGATAATTGGTTGATTAAACACAGATAGGTTACATTACTACTATTGCTACTGTTAGAATTATCACCAACACTCCTGCTGTGGCTACCACCTAAACTGTATGCATTGTTGTTAAACATTTTGTATTATTGTACTTACAAGTTTTATAAGGTAAGCATTGTTATCTCTCCATTTTGCAGGTGATGAGACTGAGGCACTGAAGCATGAAGTTAAGATTTATTTGCCTACAGTGATTTAAACTGTGGGCAAACTCTAGAACCACATGCATATTCTTAATTTACTGCTACACAATGCAGCATCCTAGTGTTTTCTATTACTGTATATACTTTTTTACTATGACATTTTCATAGTATTGGCTACTATTGTAAAAGAACAAAATTCTAAAGCATCGTGGTTATCAGTGCTTTAGAGTTTAAGAAATAAACATCTTTGGAGTTTTTGTAGTATTTTTTCCTTCACCTGTACTTGTTACTACACCTTTCTCACCATATTAAAATTTATTTTTGTTCCTGTCTGATAGGAAGAATTATTCTTTTGAGTTTGCTAAATGATCTTTTTACTCCTGAGCTTTTGAGTATTTTTGCTTCCTTTGACCTTTCCTTTTCAATTGGCTCCTTTTGGCATAGTAAGTCCATTTCCCATTCCTTAGGAAAAACTCAGCAATAGCAGCAAAAAACAAAACAAAAAATAAAATGCTTCTAGTCACTTTCTTGCTAGCTTTCTGTTCCTGTCGCTGGTAAATCTTGAAGTAGTAGTCAGACTGTTAATTTTTTGTTAATTTGACCTCAACCATTTACTTCTTAATGTCTTGGAATAGAATTTCTTTGTTGTAATATAATTAGAACCAAAATTGCTTACCTCGGTGTTACCACTCAATTTATATTTATTAAAATAAAGGCCCAAACTTTTATGTTTTTTGCCCTGTGCATGTATAACATCAGTGTTGATGCCGCCTTTTTAACTTACTTACCTTGAATCCCTAATATGTTGGTTCCTTTTCTTAAATCAGTCTTACCCTCTTTTGTTCCTTTTCTTCAGACTCTAATTGTGTTTTTCAGTGTTGTTTCATTGATATTTTTTTCTTCATCCATTTTTTACTTCTGACATTTCATTAATTACTGCTAAGATTTAAATGTTTGTCTTCTCCAGAATTATTGTTGAAATTTAATTGCATTAAGTATTAAGAGGTGATTAGGTCACGGGGGCTTTGCCTTTGTTGATTGGATTAATGCCTTTATAAGAGGTTAGTTTTGCCTCTGCCCCTCTGACTTACTTCTGCCATGGGAGGAATTCCAGAGGATGCAGTGTTCAAGGTCTGTCTTGGAATCAGAATTTTCAAACCTGCCAGTACCTTGATATGGGACTTCCCAGCCTCCAGAACTGTGAGCCAATAAATTTCTTTATAAATTGCCTGTCTTGTCGTATTCTGTTATAGCAGCACAAACGGACTAAGACCTTTCCCATGAATGGTTTTCTTTGTAATCCATGCCAGTGGTTCTTAAAAACTTCTTTGGGAGTGTATATTGTAGATCCTTTAAAGTCTGATTAAAGACAGCCTCCCTAGGATTTGCAAATACATACACATTTGCATTGAATTTCAGAGCTTTTCACCCTGAGCTTGTTAATGGATTCCAAACTAGAACCTCTACTCTGCATTTATTTTCACATAAGTATATTTAGACTTAACCACTCTTCACAGTCTTAAGCTTTTATCTCTAATTACTGGCTGTATATCTGCTTGGATCTCTCATCTAAACTTCAGACTAATTTCTGAAAAGAAGTGTTCTCTGGATTCACTTATTTTAATTTCACTTCTCCAAATTATGCTGGCTTGAAATTTTTTGGCTTCTCCTCCCTCCCATTCACTTAGTCATGAGGTTCTCTCTTGATAATCCTTACTGACATTGCTTAGTAGGGGGCTCACACTCCGTATCTAAATGAATGCAATTTGCTTTCTAACAAATATATTTTTATCTCTAGGCCTTTCTCCCTTCCAGTTCTTCTGACATGGATGCCCAGCCTTGTTTATATCCCATTGCTTGATCAAAACCTTCAGCATTCCCAGATCATAAATTGCATTCTTTTTAGCTTGCCTTTAAGAGAGCTAATGATTTGCTTTAAATTATCTTTCCATTGATACCTTTCTACTTTTTATATGTCCTAATTTCAGCAAAGCTGAACTTTCGTGATTCACTGTCTGTTATTTTTACTGTTTCTTTTTTCTGAACATTAGTAGTAGGCACCATTTATTGAGTGCTTACTATTAATATATGTTAATCATTATACAGTCATTGTGTGCAAGATAGGTTCTTGTTTCTTGAAGATGAGGAAATTGAGTATTAGGAAGATGAAATAGCGTACTTTATTCATAGCTAGTAAGTGATGGAGACAGGATCCAAAAGAAGACGTTTTGATTCCAGAGCCTTGTGTTATGGTGTACTGTCTTTATATCCTTTCGGTGTGTTGAAGTCAAAGATGAAGTGTGATTCCAGTTCTTCCAGAAAGCTATCTATGATCTGTCCAGCTGGACGAAGTGACTCCTCCCACCATGACTTCTCTCTTAGCACTGGTTTCAGTTGTCATGACACTCATCACTTGTACATTAAATTATTTAGTTGTGTTATTTTAGCTTTATTATTAGAGTCTCAGGTCCTTGATGGCAGACTCCAACTCTTAAGATTTAACTATATTCCTGTTCATTATATACATTATCTAGCACAATGCTTTGTGTGTAGTATATATCTGATTAAGTGCATTAGTTGAAATTTCAAGGTTGTGTACCTAAAGCCAAGGGAAGAGGCAATAATTTGGGTAAAACTATAGAATCTACCCTGCTTCAGAACAGCAGATATGTGAGCCATTTGAAGATTAAGTAGTCTTTGGGTCTACTTCTGTATTTTTACTCCTAGCACCTTTGGTTTAGGTAAAGCTTAAGTTTAGTTCAGATTTTTTTTTTTTTCCCTCTTAGAGGGAAAGGTCACTGAAGTATATTAATATTTACTTGTTAAAGTATTATTGAATGTTGCTATGTGCAAGATTGCTGTCTCCATAGAGCTGCACATAAAAGAATTATAGTAATTCTAACCTGATGAATGTTATAGCTGGTAGAAGAGTTAGTAGTCTATAATTATTGGTTAAAACATTTTTCTTTATCTCTTTATCCCCTTAACTTTTGATGAATTGACTTTCATAATCACATTTTGCTGCTGCAATCCTATTTGGCCTTTCCGTCTGAATGCTGAGTTTAAATGCATTTAGTACTTTTTTTCTGTATGCTTTAGCACTTCCTTATTGTTAGCTGACAGTGCTTCTCAAAATTATTTTACATGCTTAAACCAAGATACAGGGACTGTATTATGAGCAAAATGTAAAATATTCCCATGTTAGGTATATACATAACCTAAGCTTGAGAATGACTAACCCAAGCTTGAGATAAATAGCTTCTAAGATTTTTTTTTCCCCTCTTCTTGCTTCCTTTGTGCCAAAGAATGAATGAGAGGAATGAATGGTAAGCTGTTCCTAATAGACTTACTCATTACTCTCCTACTACCTACCTTATTTCTGTGGAAAAAAATCTTTTCAATTTACATACAGTCACTTTGAAATAGGTAAAAGTTTATTTTTAACTTAGGGTTTTATTTAGTATCTTTTATGTGTGTATTAAATAATGGAGTAAGTTCAA